TGGATGGTGTAGAGGCTTGATCACTGCACTGTACACCTGAAGCTGATGTTGTATAATATTGTATGTCAACTATAATTGAATATATATATATAGTCATGAGACGTGGTGTATAGTGTGGGAGTGGAGTCAAGGGAATTGTAATAGATATGTATGATATGGGGGGGAGTGGGACGGCGGATTGGGAGAGGGGGGTTGTGACTTTGAGGGGTAAAAAGTATAACTATTGCACTGTGTTGTACAGCTGAAACTAATTTAAAGTTTATTTCACAATAAAAAAACAATAGCAGAAAAAAGTAGCAAATCTCTATAGTTTAAAAATATTTTATATTTGCACTTAAAAGTCAATAAAATATGTAAATTAAATTAAAAAATTGTCATTGACAAATTTCTAGAGGCTCAGTTAAGACTAGCTTAAGAGTTAAAAACTTCAAGAGGGGCCTGTCTTGGGGTGTGTGTTGGGGGAGGCGCACATTCTTGAGTTTTACTTCTAGGAGCTCCATCAGCCTCTCACTGTAAAGATCAGAGAAAAATACTCTCTTGCGTATGGTGGAGAAGGGGTAAAGTAACCATTTTGGAATACACCCAGAGTTCTCTGTTCTTCCCAACAAGGCCTGTCCTCAAGGGAAGCTATTTTACCAGAGTCTAATAGACTGGGGTTTTACCAAAGCCTAAACAACCTGGGGGAAAGGAAATACCCAACTCAGGCTCACTGAAAGATTGAAATTTAATCATAAGACTTTAAAACGCTTCCCCTCCTCCCACACTCCACCACCACATTAATAATAAAACGGATTATAGCTAAAAGAACTGCAAGGCTCAGAGCCTATTAAGGAGTCTCTAGGAAAACTCAGAACAACAGAGAAGACAAAAACAAGGACATAGAGGGAAATTCCAGCTTCTAACACCACATCTTCAGCAAACAGTAAGTACAGCCTAACTCCTAGCCAAATAAACAAAAAAACCTCACCCTAAAGGCTCATTGTTGGAACGGAGTCCCAGAGAGCAGTTTCCAGGCTCTCAGCCTCACGTGGAAAGGTGCTGGCTCGGTTATGTAACCTGCACATGCAGGCACTTATGTAACTAGTTGGCCATCAGCTGTAACCAGTTGCAAATGAGGATCTTGTGGTTCTTGCAGACCCTACTTCCTGTGTCTCACCTGGCCGCCATCAAGACTGTGGTGCAAGAAGACCCCTTTTTGGGGTATTGGCGGATGTTTGCTTCCCATACTCCACCGGCCGCCCTCGAGAATATAGTGGAACGAACCCCTTATCCATGGCTCTACTGGTTTTTTTTTAAAGATTTTATTGGGGAATTGGGGGGAGGGGAACAGCGTTGGGGAATCGGGGAAGGGGAACAGACAGGTAGACAAATTGCTGTTTTTGTTCTTCAGTGTAGTTGTGGAGGACGTTGCTTCACTGGCCCATGTAGGTATGATCATTGTGCTCTTCCCGGCTCCTGGCAGCTCTCGCCAGCTGCCAGCCACTCACGGTAGTTCAGGGCAGCCCACTGCAGACCTGTTGCTGTCTACGCTGCCGCGGGCGACTCACACCCAGCTCCAGGTCGAGCTGTTGTTCATCATCTTAGCTGTAGAGGGCGAGCATCACTGGCTCTCAATATGGGATCCAAACCGCAGTCCTGCTGCTCAGACCTGGCACTCCCAAGCGAGCTCTTAACCAGCTGAGCCACTCGGCTGGCCCCATGGCTCCACTGTTGTTCCTTTTTGGCCTCACCATATCCTGTGTTCACCTGCCGGGAGCTGACCCCATGCATTACACTCATATACCTCAGTTCCTTGTTCCTGACACATCATGTTCTGCCTTCTACAAAATATTACAAGGCATGCTAAAAGTCAAAAAACAAAACAAACAAACAAACAACGAAATACCCACAGACTGAAGAGACGAAGCAAGCATCAAAATCAGACTCAGATATGGCCGAAGTTTTGGAATTCTTAGACTAGAAATTTTAAATGACTGATTAATATGATAAGAGATCTAATTAAAAAGTGGACAACACATAAGAATAGATGGGTAATGTCAGTAGAGAGATGGAAATTCTAAGAAAAAAATAAAAAAGAAATGCTAAAAGAGGAAAGCACTAACAGAAATGAAGAATGCCTTCAATGGGCTCATCCATAGACTAGACACAATTGAGGAAAGAATCGGTGTGAAGAGAGGTCAATAGAAAATTCCAAAATGGACATGCAGAAAGAAAAATAAAACAATGAAAAGGACAGAACATAATACCCAAGAACTGTGGAACAATTACAAAAGCTGTAATATATGTATAATGAAAATACCAGAGGGATAAGAAAGAGAAAGGAATAGAAGAAATATTTGAAGTAATAATGATTGAGAATTTCCCAAAGTTAATAACAGACACCAAACCACTGATCCAGGAAGCTCAGAGAACAATACAAGCAGGATATATACCAAAAAAAACTACCGTATTTGCCGGCGTATAAGACGACTGGGCGTATAAGACATTTCCACTCAAAATACAGAGTTTGTTATATGTTCGGCTGTGTGCGATTTTGCGAGTGTGGTAAAATCGCATAACAGCAAAATCGCATAACAGCCGAGCATACACCCAGCAGCGCTGCTGATGCCTGAACGGTATGTGGAATGAAGTGGGCGGGCATCGGGAGGCCACTATGGCATGGGGCAAGCACTATGGGCAGTCTATCTGAAGTGTACCTGGCGTATAAGACGACCCCCCACTTGGAGGCATATTTTTCAGGGCCAAAAAGTTGTCTTATACGCCGGCAAATACGGTACATCTATATTTAAATTGCTGAAAACGAAAGACCAAGAGAAAATCTTGAAAGAAGCCAGAGAGACAAGATAAGAATTGCATTCAACTTCTCTTCAGAAACCATGCAAGCAAGAAGAGAGTGGAGTGAAATATTTGAAGTGTTGAAAGAAAGAAAATCCACTAATGTAGAATTCTGTAGTCAGTGAAATTATCCTTCAAAAGTGAAGGAGAAATACAGACTTTTGAAGACAAACAAAGAATGAGGGAATTTGTCTCCATTAGACATGCCTTGCAAGAAACGTTAAAAGTTCTTTGGAGAGAAAGAAAAGGATATAGGACAGGAACTCAGATCTACATGAAGGGAAGAGCATTAGAGAAGGAATAAATGAAAGTAAAATCATATGTTTTATTTTCTTCTTCTTAATTGACCTAACAGAAAACAGTTTGTTCAGAATAATAATAGCAATAATGCATTTAGTGATTCTAGCTTATGGATAAGTGAAACGAATTGACAGCAGTGTGATAAGGAACAGGAGGAAGGAATTAGGTAACTTGGTTATAAAGTACTTGCACTACCCATGTAGTGGTAGAGTGTTACTTGAAAGTGGATTTTGAAAGTGGATTTTTATTAGTTGTAAATGTATATTGCATACTGTGGAGCAACAAATAAGAAAATGTTTAAAAGAAGTCTAATTGATGTGCTAAGACAGGAGAGAAAATAGAGTTACATAAAATGTTCAATTCAAACCAAGAAAAAAGCAGAAAAAGAATGGAATACAAAAACAGACACGAGGAACAAAGGCAATGAATGGAAAAAAGATAAAAACTTCACAGCCACTATGGGGTATGGGACAGTGTGAGAGCAGAGGAAACTACAGGGTTCCAATGCTTTTTTAAAGTGTCCAAACAAACACTGCTATAGGAAAAAGAAAAAGATCTCTGAAATGTGCCTCCTGATGCTTTCCCTCTTTAAAATGTCCAACTCTTTGGAAAACTAGGAATGGCAGTTTCTACTTTGAAAATACTTTCTGGGACTGTATTAGAGTGAAAGTCCAATGCTTCAGATCCCATAATCAGGTCATAGTGCTTGGAGCTTCTGAATCCTAAAGCCTAGAGACGGTGAAGCTTCATCCTCCAGGTCATTTCTTCCACATTCTCCTTTCCCTCCAGGAAAGAGAAGGGTATATGTCTGGTCTCTCTGCTGTAAGTGTAACTCCACTTAATAAGAGGGCTTTTACCTTTTAAGGCCTCGTCTCTTGCTATCTTAATAGTTCATCACAAAAAGTGGTCTGTGGAACAGCTGCACCAGAACCACCTGGGATGTCTGTTAGAGAGAGATGTCTGTGTCCTGCCCAAGAACTATTGAATCAGATTCTCAAAGAGTGAGTCTAGGAATCTACAAGTGAGTCTTACGCGCATTAAAGTTTGAGAACCACTGCCTTAATATGTGGTTCCTTTAGAGTTGGGAATAGGGATGGGGTACGGAAGGCCCTTCCCTTTATGTGTTGGGCCAATTTATTGCTTGGAATATTAGTTCCCTAAGTACCTGCTGAATCTATCTGCTAACCAAATACAGTAAATGCTCAAAAAACTCATTGAAACATTTCTTAAGGAGCATAACATTATATCTCCTTAAGGTCTGTAATAAGAAAAATATTTTGATCTTGCTAATCTGGATAGAAGTAGTTTTATTCTAAATAAGTTTTTAAAAATTTTATAGTCTGTATGTCATGTGTACAGAATAGCTGCAATTTTAAAACCATGGGAGTAAAACAAGCCAAAATTTATTTAGATGGTAGGCTTGCTCTAATGCAGATCATCAAAAAAAAAAATCACTTGAGCTTCCATGTCAGTTAAATTTGGTTTAAAGAATTCCTGCAAAAGAAAAACAAATGGTTGAAAACATAAGTAGCTATAGAAAACATAAATCCAAAACAAAAAAAACCCTCACATAGAGTTTTATGGATAAAAAATTAACATATGTGTCAGCATACTCTAAATGTTGGGGGCATGTAAGGTTGGACTAAGAGGTGGGGAAACTGAGTGAAAGGTGAGTGGCTAGGATAAACCAGAAGAGAAAAAAGATGAGCAGGCTTGGAACATAAAGGTCTGCTCATCAAACCCTCCCCCAAATCAGAAAACTAAAGATTTTGAGAAATAGAAAGGTAAGTTGTAAGACAGACGATAAGAGAAAGGGGACTTTTCCTAGACTCTTCAAATATCGGGTCAATGGGTTAGACATATACTACATTATACTAGCATTTTACTTTGTAAGGGCATTGTTACACTCTAACATTAGTATCCAATCAAAACTGTAAAATCACATCAATATATGTATGAGAGAAGGGCCCCGGCTTGATCTTCAGTTCCTTCTTATATTCCTAACTTGGGAAAAAGAAGCTTGGAAACGGGAAACTGAACTAGAGCCCAGGCTTCCATACGTTTTGTTTGTGGAAGAGAAGAATAGATGAGGAGTAAACAGAAATAATAATAATCATTCCCCAGAGGCCTTCCTTTTCAAGAGATTTTGCCATTCAGAAGGGAGGCAAAGTGCTCCTACCTATCAATTTGTCAGTGGTGTGTGTGTATTTGGTGTGCATGTGTTTATTTGGTGTGTGTATGTTCGGTGTGCATGTGCGTGCATGTATTTTGTGTGTGTACATCTGGGTAGTTGTGAAAGTGCATGAGTGTGTATGTTAGAAGGGCATGGGTAGGACTGAATAAATTTCAGTTTATGGCTTACCTTGCACCTATCAGCAACAGGGTATAGACTCACATGAGTGCTTTCACTCTGGAAATGGGATAAAGTGTTAGGTATATGTCTCAGTCTTTCCTCCTCAGCAGAGAAAAAAGAGAGATAGGAAGAAAGAGACAGGACACTCACACACACACACTGAATTTCTCCTAACTTGTGGGGTCAGATCAGTTGGGAGGAAGTCAGTCCTCATGCCTTCCTGCCCTCCACATTCTGGATGGCCAGGTGAGAGGCAGAACTCTAACAATAAGGAAGAAAGAACTGAAGATAGACTATCACTAGAAACTCACCCTGGGTGTTGTGGGAAGATACTGTCTTTTTGAAAGACATACCTGAAGTAGTAGGCCTAACATTTATAAAAGATGGTGTGCCTGCACAAAAATAAGAGAAATAGGAAAACAGTGAAGTAATCCTCAGCAAAGGCCTCTAAAATTAATCTGTGATAGAAGATAACAAGGCAACCCTGTAAGAAAAAGGCAAAAATTACCTGCAAACAACTTCTTTTCTAGTTCTTCTTGAATTTTAAGAAGAATCCTTTCCTGTTCTAAGGCTTCTATATACTTCGAATAACACCAGGTTGGCTAGAAAAACAATTTTCAAAGTGAGTTTTGGAAATATTTGCCCCAGAAAATGAACTGATGGTATGATGCTTTGTATCAGGGCCTTCATTAAGCTTTTAAATATCATAAAACATGCACATACAAATTTATAATTATATGAATTTTCACAAGTAGAACTTACCCATTTAACCTTTTAACTGGGTATCACAAATTGTTATCAATCTACCTTATACTATTTTAATAATAATAATATTTGTGATAAAGTAAAGGTAACTTTTTCTATAGCCTTGACCTAAAATTTTAAATTTCCTTGCCCTATGTTAGGAGGGGTGATGGAAAATGAGGATGGTGATGAACTATTTCTCAGTGAAACAATGTCTTTATAAAAACATTTATAGAACAAAATCTTTATAGATTTCTTACAGCTATTCAGTCACCTTTATATATTCAATTTGATTATGAATTTAGGTGCTAAAGAAAGATCCAAGTTTTTGTGGGGGCTAGTTTTGCATTTGAATTAATCACAATTCTTGAATGTGCATAATCTATCTGAAACTAATGCATATACAGAGCATTCCACACTTACTAAATGGCAGTATTATTATTTTACCAATTGCTAGAGTATTTCAACATGTATACATTAAGTAGCAATAATAATAGTCGTTTATATTTATAAAATGTCTTTGGTTTCCAAAAGCTTTTTAGTTTCTTAACCTTGAGATATATGACATCATCATCATCATCATCATCATCATCATCATCATCATCATCTTCATCTCTCTCTCTCTATCCCTTTCTCTTTCTAACATATAGGTAAACAGGCTCAAAGAAGATTGAGTTATTTTTTTCAGGCTTCAAGGTAATACTGGCTTGTAAGTGTCAAAGTAAAAATTATAAACCTTGTATCTCTATTTCCACATTTCTCCCTTTACTTTTACACCATGTTTCTGAAATTTAATGCTAATGAATGTACTTCCAAATGTCATTATTAGGTATCATGCACTTTTAGATACATCTTTTTTAATATATATAAAACAGTCTTGGTTTTATTTTAATTTTAATTTTTATAATTTCTTTTACTTTTTGTATTAAATTTATCGGGATGACATTGGTTAATAAAATTATATAAATTTCAAGTGTACAATCCTATAATACATCATTTGTATATTGCATTGTATGTTCACCACCCAAAGTCAAATCTTCCGTCACCATATATTTGACCTTCTTTACCCTTTTCTACCTCCCTCCTTTCCTGTTTCCCTCTGGTAATCACTATAATGTTTTCTGTGTTTATGAGTTTTTGTTTGTTTATAGATATATCTTTTTCAATCTATGGTTCCACAAAATTGGAAATTTCTCTTCTCTCAATAAAAGCTTCAGTCTGTCAGCTTTGTAGCTCGGTAGCTGAACTTATTTGATATTCCTAAATACTAAAAAGATTGTTTTTCAAGCTAGTATTATTTAAGATGCAAACATTTTCAATAGAAGTCATGTAAATGGACATAAATTAAGCTTATGAAATTTCAGGGAAGTGATAGTAATGTACAAATTATAAATGTAAATCTAAACATAAAAACTATAAATGTATTAGTTGATGGTCACATACTGGCCAACTTTATGACCACTTCAAAGAATTAAAAAATTGAGACTAACCATTGGCATTCTTCTTTTTTCTCTTAACCCAAGAATATATCAACCTATATATATATTCTATCTTGTTTTTATCTGCCTTATTCTCTCTTTTCCAATAAGATAGTGATTTCAACTTCTATCTCTTAAATTTTCTTTATATGTATCAAGAAATTATTTTCCTTGATTATATTGTCCTAGATCAGCTGAAATTTTAATGTTCTCTGAAGGCTCAAGGAAATTCTCTTCCAATCTTTCCTAGTATTATAATTTTAGCCTCATTTTCAAATAAACGCACTACTACTGTAAAATGACTGAACTGCTGTGTTCCACTATCCAGTGTTCTATAAAGGAAGTGGTGTCTGTGATATCTTTCTTGCTTACCTGTCGGCCATATGCTTGCAGGCCTAAAACTGAGCTACTGACTAAAGAAGCTGCTCCCGAAGTACTTGCATATTGTTTGATTCCATCCTGTAATTATAGTAAATTAAATTATTTCCAAAAGTGGTAGTGCTATATTAATATAAGCTTCTAGTTAAGGAGTCATAATATCAGATGAAAAAATATTTTGTGGTGAGCACCACATCTGAGGTTTTATCAAGTCAATATCACTAACATGACATAATCTATGGTTTTGATCTTTAGTTTTCTTTCATACTAATATAAAAATATTAAAATAAATGAGACAAATCATGAAGTAGAAGGTAAAAATCACCCCTAAATTCTAGCATTCAAGAAAAACCATTGCAAACATTTTCATGAACATCCATACAAATTTCTCACTAGGAAAATGCATAGGTTTAATCTATAATTCTAATATTTATATTTATTACATAAATTTCATACAAATGGATTCACATTATTTGTGCCTTTTTTAAATGTTTCATGTAAAATGTGAAATGTTTCTATGTGAATAAATATAGAACAGGAATATAAACGGCAGGGTCTTTGTATCATTCTCGAAGTACGAGTACTCTAGAACATGGAATATACCTTCGAATATTTGCTGGATGATGAAATGAATAAATTGCATCATCATTTTCAATGGGTGAATGGTCTTATGCACTCAAATATTTGTCAAACAATAAATGAATAAACTATTATCATTATTTCCATGGGTCAATAATATTCTAGTAAAGGAATGTACCACACATAATTTAATTAATACTCGCTATTAGAAATTTAGGTAATTTAACATTTTTTACTATTATAAATGATGCAGTATACATACATCTTGGTGCATTTTTCCAGTTCTTTCCTTTAGAATAAATTTCTGGACATTTATTTGTTGCATTGAAAAGAATGTACATTTTAAACAATATATGTTGTGAAACTGCACTTCAGAAACAAAATACCATTTTACAAGTTCTCCAAATAACACATGAATTTACAGCTCTTTCACCTACTCTCAACCAACACTGGGTATTTTCTTCTTTGTCAGTCTGCATGTTTTTGGTTACCAGTGAGGATGAACAACTTTTAATACTTTTAATCATTTGTATTTCCTTTGTGAATTGCCTGTTAATACCTTTGCCCAATTTTGTTAAAAGTGTTTACCTTATTTAAATTTATTTTTACAACTTACTTACATCATACATTCTATGTTTTCCTAATTTGTCATTTAACCTTGTTTATGTTTGCCATTTAAAAGTTTAAAATATTTATTTAGTTAAATCACTGATCCTTTCTTAATGAATTTGTCACTGTTCATTTTAAGTACTTAATATTAAACTAGATGATATTTAACTAAATGAATGTTTTAATGAGATTCTTTTTCTCCCATTATAACTTTCTTCAGATTGCCTAGTTCTATTTATTCCTTTATAAGAATGAGATGGAGGATATATTTGATATTAGTATTTTTGTTATAAAGGACAATTACTTCTACAATATTAATAAGATAATAACTAACATTTAGTTGATGATACACATTGTTTTTCCTATATATCTTTAATCCAACCCTGCAATGTAAATTCTATTACTATCTCTATTTTACGGGAAAAAAGGAGATTTGGGGAAATGAAGTGGTTTGCCTAAGATACTAGAACAAATCAATGGTAAGGCCAGGATTCAAAACCATGCAGTCTGACTTTAGAGACTACACTCCTGTCCAGTATGCTATTCTTTCTCATATCAAATAATACCTTACAATTGTATAGTGGAACAGCTTACATGGTCTTTTTTGTTTTTTGATAGCTAACCTTCCTTCCTTCCTTCCTTCCTTCCTTCCTTCCTTCCTTCCTTCCTTCCTTCCTTCCTGTCTTTCTTTCTTTCTTTCTTTCTTTCTTTCTTTCTTTCTTTCTTTCTTTCTTTCTTTC